TAAAATAGCATTAAATCAGTTACAGAAACAAACAATTCAAGGTTGCATAAACTTCTAGATATGGGCCGAGTATTAACCTTAAGGGATGGTTGACAAAAAATCACAAAAAGGAAAGAATCAAGAAAGGTAAATCTTATGTGTATTTATTTTTTACCTAAATTTCAAAAAATCCAAAAATAAAAAAAAAATTCAAGAATTTTACGAGCTTGTATGTACCTACATGTGATGTTGGGTGGAGAAGTGGTAGTTATCATTAAATATCACCACTTATCACAAAAAAAAAGGGTAGGTCCAAAAATCCTTAAAAATCGATCACGTCATTAGTGGAAGCCCTGATCGACTTAATCGAAAACGGTGAGCTTTAGCAATTTAAATAAAATTATTCGCTTTCACTTAAAATTAATCAATGCAATTTTTATTATTTCAAATGTATTGAATTTTTATAATTCAACCACTTTTGTCAGACAATAACATTTTAGAATGTTGTTTAGAGTCTAAACAGTTAATGTCTAAACTTTAGACCATTCATTTAAAGTAATCAGCACTATATCCAATTTTGGAACCTTTGGAATATTTTATATTTTCAAAATCGGTTCAGGTTTTGCAAAAAAGTAGACAAAAAGAAAATATTGCTGTCTAAAAAAACTGCTAAACAAAACGCGACTTCTTATCAAGTTTAATGCTTTTAAATTTTGAAATCCTAATCAATACAAGACTATGTTTTCCGCACATATTATTATTTCAAATCATACTTTTTAGACTAAAAATCTTATTATTTTGCACAATAAACAATTTTTAAGCTTAAAAAATTTCTGAAAATGTTTTTATCATTTTGAATCCTATTTGTGTAAATGAACATAATTCTGCTTTTTTAGTACAAGATACTCATATTAGTAATTATTTCGATAAATATACTTCGAATTTCTAATTGTAACAATTAATTGCTTCTGTTTACTTTTTTTAAAATATTTAGATTGTTGCTAATTTCTACACATGCTAATATTTCTAGAATTAAGGCTTGAACTAATAAGTAACCATATTCCAAAAATACAGAATGAAAATTGCAAAATATTATGCAAAATATAAATATTATTAAAAACTTAATTTTATCATATTTAAAAATAAATATATGAATTTCAGAATTCTAACAATCATTTTTGTTTGTACATTCCTAGTAGATAAACCGTTGGGTGCATCTACTAATCCGAATCAATATTATTTTCCTAATTTATCTTCTAAGCAATATCTGCTTATTGTTTTTGTATAAACAGACCGCAGAATAAATTTAATTAAAAATGTTATAATATTTAATCTGATTATCTTATAGTGGAATGCAATTATATGCTGGTGCATCAAATTATCATGCAAAGCAAAAATGCACATTTCTCCAGATTGTACACGATAAATTAAATTATAAAAAACAATTATTCGTTGATAATATATTTATAAAATATAGTAGTTGTTTATTTTAATAAAAAAAACTTACGTAATGAGTTCCTGCAGATGATTTTCGTCCTCTCCTGTCCTTATAGCACCAATAGGTGCTAATGAAACACGTACTGAATATTGAAAATACAATTAATAATCGTGGTTTTAATTACCAAAGTTTATTTTCTTACATCAGGCCATCCTTCAGGTTTGATTTCTCCTTTCAAGTGGTGTCTGTCCATTTTGGCACTGAGTCTACCTCGGAAACGATTTACATTGACTCTGTAGTGTGATGTTTCGGTCTACAAGATATAAATAATGCAAATTTTTTTAATATTCTAAGAGACGTAAGTTAATATTGAATAAACTAAACACGAATCCAAAATACTAACCTTTCCTGATTTAAGCCTATATGCTTTCATCTGCATTACTGGAGTAGTTTCTATATCCATTGTCACCATCTTAAAAAAATATTGTGGATTAATTACAATACTATAAACTAAAGTATAATTCAATTTGTTGGACTTAATATTTGTGTGCAGATGTATTAAAAATAATTAATTTAATTACTTACAACTTCTTGTCCCAAATTTTCAGCAAAAACATTGTTTATGTGTGGTGCTGGTGTCTCTGGAAGAAGTCGTACCAGCTCGACCCCAACACCATGCTAAAAATAAAATAATATTTATTTAAAATTAACTGAAAAAAATAAATCCAAATTGCATAATACAAAACTACTAAAATGGTAACAATAAATTACCCGAAAAAAAAACGTTATTTTTATATTTTATATTTCTATTATGACTTTTTATATTCGCCAGATCCAATTTGCTCACATGTTATGGCAAGGCCATGTTAAGCTCCAACTTGCATACATTATGCTACTGAATTATACTAAATACTGTCAAAATGTCATACATTTGCTGTGCATTCAGGCGTTTTACACATAAACTGCAACGTAACTTGTAAGTTATGAAGCTGGGTCAGAAAGACCCTGTTATATAAGATCGTTTCTGTGACATTTGTGCGGTTTCTAGGTTATTTTCTTTCTCACAACCTGAGGAAAACAATATTTAGTACGATTTTGTATGGAAAGTTCTACATAACATAGTCTTGCCATAACTGTTATGCAGCAGAATCGGTCCATAAAGCTCTTTTGATAAAGGGAATATATAATATAATATGGATTCACGTTGATTAGTTTTGCAAGACGATCTGCCAAGCCGTTTCTTTAGAATTCGCAAAAAATTAAACTTTTCATCCATGTTTTCGCCCAAAAACTCTAAAGCAATTTCGAAAATTTAAAAACTTTCCAAAACGCCTGAATGCATAGCAAATACATGATATTATGATAGTATTCAGTATGATTCAGTAGCATAATGTATGAAAGTTGGAGCGTAACATGGCATTGCCATAACATTTGTCTGTTATGCGTCAGAATCGGTCCCTGAATGTCGTCTATAAGGATACTCGTACACACAGGTAGTCAAGTGAATGCAGTCTATAGATGACGCTCGTAGCAGAAGAGTTAATACAGAAAATTATGATATGTTTGACATCTAAATGTATATTAGCAGCATTTTATACTTGTTTATTGATTTAAATATTTGTCGAGTTTAAAATATCATGATTTACCCTTTGCACTCGTATTGAGCCATAATGCGTATTACATTTGCAATAAGTGGAAATGGTCAAAGTGTTAAAGTACGTGTTTGATAAAAATTATAGATTACTTAATATTAAAGGCAAAACCACAAAAAATAATCATATTAAAATACGGTATAAGTTTATTGGACAAAAAATAAATGATTTATTTATTTTTATTCATGGTCCATAATTGCTTTTAAATTGTATTCATTCATCCAAATCTCAATCTTACGTAATATCGTTCTGTTCTCTTTTGAGATAAGGAAGATTTCCACCGGTAAAAAGATTTGTTTAGGTTCACCTGAGCAAACAAGGGCTCTGAAAGTGAGTATACACAAACACCGAATTAACATTAATACTGATAATAGAAAAATATTCCAAGGTTTTATTAAGATGTTTTTATATAACAACCATATAAGGGCTGGTTTGCTAGTTTATAAAAAAAATTGAGACAAATTAACATTATGATTAACATATGTGATTTCTCAGTTTTCTAGCATAATACATTGATTCATTTAATCTCATTAAAATGTGTTTATATTTTTTGAATCTATATACTATAAAGTTGCTCGAAAAGAACATTAGAAATATTAATCCAGATGTAATTGGGAAAACTGTTAACTAACAATAAATCTAAGTGCTCATGGACTCATTAAATTTTTATAGACTTCACGTGCGATGATTTTAAAAGCCATTATAATTAAATCTATCGTTCTATCCATGTCTAATATAATGTCATTGTAATTTATATTGAAAATTAAAATGTGTGATAATTTGCATGAAGCAAAATAATTTGTTACATAATGCTCGTGGTTTTCAAATATAGATCTAATATATGCCCAGAATTTTTTTTTGTCAATCAAAACTTTTTTTTATTATCTCTTTTATTTACAACTGTCTAGTAAAGGACATTCAATAAATTTGATGAATTTACAATAGTCGGCCGAAAAGGGACATTGCATACTACAAGGGCATATTGGAAAAAAAATATATAAAATACGCAATATTTTATTGATAATTATTTTAACTATTTATTTATTAAATAATTTCTTATGAATAATTATTAAGTTATTTCCATTCCAATCAAAACTTTATTAAAGTTTTACAATACGCTTAGAAGTGAATTTAACCTTCCCCGATATTGTTGAATCTAATTGAAAATATATCATCAGGATAAAAGAATATCTAATAATAAAAGTCTATCAAATACATATAGGCCAACCTTTGAGGTGCCTTCTGAAAAACACAACTTTGTAAAGAAAAGTGTATGATTTGGAAATTAAAATGGTTGCATAAAAACATATAGAGTAGAGAGGGGCTTAAACGTCCTTGGGTAGAAAGCTAGAAAAGTTCATCACTGATATCTCAAAAACAAGTAAAATAAGGAATTATTTAACAGAAATATTTGAAAGTAGAGGAAAAATAGAAGTATAACCAGCCATCACCTCAATTCTTACAATGTCGCTGCCAGGAGATAAAAGAAAATGTTGGAAAATCAATAACAAAAGTATTTTCTTTCGTTGCTAGCATTTTTGGTGAGCACTGTTGTTTAGTTTACGAGGCCTTAACCTGATCTTTAAGTATATGTAATTTATATACTTAAAGATCAGGTTAAGGCCTCGTAAACTAAACAACAGTGCTCATATATAAGATGTATTGTCAAATTTTAAGATAGATTCAGCAAATGTTTTTATATAACCTGTATAATAGCTTACACGTGGATGGGGTAACAAGTACCAACAAAACTCTTACCTGAACAAAGAGTAGACAATAAAAATATTAAATAAAAAAGAAAATTAAGTTGAATAAGCAATTTTACAAGAAATAAATTAAATTAATAATTATTCCAACTCTGCTGATGACTATTTTTGTCGAAATACCTGATCGAGGTTATGCACAGTGTAATCTTTGTAAAAATTGTACTCATGAAATTTATATTCTGCATTGATTGAATATTGTAGCTACTATTTCGAAAAATTGCTTCAAAATTAAAATTAAGTCATTCGATCGGTTTGACCCCTGGCAGTCCCGTTTACCCTGTATATGGGGTAAAAGGAACAGATGACAAATTTTAGAAAAAATAGTGAAAAACACATTTATATAATTAGGAATTTTAAGTACAATAGTTGTTTGTTTGATTCAGACCAATTCATTTGGTTTAGACCAGTGGTTCCCAAACTTTTATGGGTCACGCCTTACGTTTCTAAAAATGTTGTGACCCTCATATAAAATTTTTGCCCTTTAAAACTAATTTTGTTTCTAAATGTAAAAGGTAGACCTTCAAAAATCACTATTACATTGTGATCAAAACTGTATATGTAAAACATGTTATAGAAATTGAAATTGAAATTAATTTTATTACTGATTTTTCTACATTTAATCAAGTCCATTTCTTTGTTCTAATTTTATTTTAGTTCTTTCATGACTATTTTTAAGAATTAAGAATATTTTATGAATTCATTTGGAAAAAATATATATCATCATCATTCATTGAAGTTCAGATGAAAATAGAATGCTTTATCTGTACGATCAAAGCAACTTTAACTTACAGACAACTATTATTTGAAGTAAAAATTGTTACAAATTGAATGCTAGCAATTATTTTTTTCTATCGAAACTATCAGGATCATTCGCAACTTATTTTGAAGTAATTGTTAGACTTCGCGATTATTGAACTACTTAGTAATTGCCCTAGATTAAGACATTTCAAACTCATTTTTGTTTTGTATGGCATGAGCTTTCAAATAATTAATCAATTAATTAATAAATTATTCTGCACTTTAAGATAAATAATAAGATAAATTTCAGCTATGTTTTTCCTTCATATTATTTTAAACATTATTGGGAAGCCATCTATTGATTTCGCTAAACATTTTATGCGAAAGCAAGGGTGAATAATCCAACTTCTACACTTTTGTGAGGGTTTAGTACAAACAAAGGGCTTTAGCATACATTACTCGAATTATAACTGCCAAAATTATAGAATCAATAATGATAAAAAAATATTAATATTATATTAAATTATATTAAACCTAATTCATATTAAATTGTAAGAGTACAAACAGCCATCAGAAAAAGGTTTTAAACAAAAACTACGCGTTTGTAAAAGTAATGCTAGTAAACTAATTCCATTTCCTCAACTTCTGGTGCAAAATTATAACCAATTTTATTGCATTATTTTAATTGGAAACTATCGAATTATCAAGTTTAATTGGAAACTATCTTTTGAGTCAAAATTTGGGAAAATCCAAATATAAATGATAAGATAAGATATCTTAAAATAAATAATAAGATATAAAAAAAAAGAGAGTAGATATATCATAAAACTTAATTATAAAGCTGTGGGAGCCTATTTGTGCAGATTCTATGCATGGAATATAAACCTTATAAAAAAGTTCCAAAAAATTCAGGTTAATCAGTTCAGGTTAATCGGTTAAATGTTTTCAAAAATCCGTAAAATGAGTAAATTAATAAATTCTGTTAGTTTGTCTAAAAGTAGTTGATCAATTTTTTATTTCTTATAATACATAAAAATGGCAACATAAGAATAATGTTAATTTTTACTTCAACTCTAAATGTTTATAATAAATTCAAAACTATTAAAAACATGTCTACTCACAATCATCGAAATTACATATTTAATTTTCCACCATTAATTTATCTCAATCAATATGCTTCTAAAGCTGAAGATAATTCTGTATTTTTTTTAAATTTCATATTTATTAAAAACTAATATAATCTTGAAGATGTTATCAAAAATAATAAGATTTATCGAACAAAGTGAAATTAGAAATCTTACTAAGCATTTGCTTAAAGTCTATATGCAATTTTGAGGAAAGTACCTCTGTGTAAAATAGTCGTGTCTATACACTAAAATTCCTTATTTTACGAATCCTTAAGCTAGGTTGACAGCAAAAGGGTCGATTTCTCCTAGAATTGCTTTTTTGTGGAAAATTTTGACATGTTATTTAAAATTTCTTGACAGATTTTGAATCGAATTCATAGCCCTTTCATTGGCCATG